TTTTCTTTTGATAAGTCTGCTCAGTCCTCAGAAGAACACGGCAGGATTTTAAATGTTTTCTCAGAGTCACTATTTAAACATCTTTGGATCATTACAAATTTCTTTCAAATCAGCTTAAATTCTTCCACATTAAAAAAAAGTAAAAAGTTATGAGATCATAAAATGCTAAAGATTGAAGAGAGCTTGGAGAGAATCTTGAAATGGCTTTCCAATATGAATTTTTCATATTCCCACAGCCATTCACAAGACAGCTCATATTGTGAGAAAATATTTTCTTATATTGATTTTAATTTTGCCTCTCTAATAAACTTACCTATTGATTCTTTTTTTTCCTTTGTGAAAGGCACTAAACAGCTACTTTTGCATCTTATCCAATGCTCTTTGGAATGAAGGAGGATGGTGATTCTGTTTCTTTTCATTTTTTATTAGATCTTTGAGAAGTTTGTGCAATGCATTTGGTTTTATTCGCCCCCATTTCTCAGCTTCTCTCAGACTGACCCCTCCTTTTCTACCCTTCCAAACTGGTGTCCTTTCTTTTTTCCTTTTTTTTTTAGAATCCAGTGAGTCCAATTTATACTGTTGATGCACATTGGATGTGTCATCCACTGTAGCATGAACAACCTACTGGGGCCACACCCATTATTAAAGAAAACTGACTCTCCCTCCTAGCAGCTGTCAATAACCCCTCAGCTGGGGGTGGAGTTTCATGTCCACCTCTCTTCCCTATGCTAGGATTTAGATGGAGGTAGTATTGAACTGACTCCTAAGAATGTATCCTTGTGCACCTAGATTATTGCATCTCTCACCCCTTATCAGAAAAGCTTCTTTTATGCAGTAGATACAGAGATTCATAAGTACTCAAGGTGCCAAGACTTCAGAATGCTCAGTTCTAAATGGCACATCTGTATCACACTCTTCCTCTCAAGACTCAGAAATTGTGGAATAGGGGGTAAAAACGTAAAAGCCATAGTCAGTAGATGACTACAAAGAAATGGTGTCAATAGGGATGTCAAGCATTCAGATTTGCACAGGTTCTAACAACATCCACAAGACCTGCACAAGCTCAAGGCAAAGTCACGCCTGCTGTTTCTTTTGTCTCCCCTCCCCTCACCCACTAGCCATTTACAGCAATTGCTGTGTCTGTTCATGCATTGTTTGTTCTTCCGAATACTTCCATGCTGACATTTCTAGCATCCCAGATACTGGTAAGAACGTGATGATCAATGTGAGAAGTGGCCAGAGTGGGTGCTGATGTGACAGACTATAAACCAGGAACCGCAGTGGTGAGTTCAGTTCATAGCTCCACATTTCTGAGTAGAAGTGTTTTTCAGATAATATCTGAGAGTTCTTAGCGTGCAGGCAGGAGGATGACTATAACTAAACTACAGACTAGTCATTTTTGTATCACTTTTTCATTCCAAATTCAATTTCAAGACTCTTTATGGACTACACATTTGAAACATTGATGCATTTAAATATCATAATGATGTCTATTGTTTCTAAGTCATTAATTTTGAACGATTAATGTAAAAAATCTTTGGGAATTGAAGGGATGTGGAGTAGAATATAACATTTCGTGTAAGATTATTCTCACAATTTTATCTGTGAACAGGAACAATAAAAATGATTTTACACCAAACCTGTGGTACATGATCCTTCCATCTCTTTTGATAAAGATCTTTCCCTAACTTAGCAACCAAATAAAAACAAAATCACAAAAACCCACAAGCTCAAATAGCTGAAGATTTTGAGATATTGTCATTATTTGGTAAATGTCATAATTTATGAGTCATTAAAATAAAATTATATTATATAGTTCCATGGCTATTTAATCATGAATTTACCATCACTTGGTTTTACTATGTGACTATTTTATATTTATTGTCCTTATATATTCCTTATCAAAAACCTATCTTCAAATCAGATTCCCATGCATAATGTCATTTAGTACTGGTAGAAGTTATGTGAAGCAACCAGGAAAACTTTATCATCCACACTGCCTGACCTGGGATACAGTCAAGTTTGCAGAAACTACACTGTTCTTAGAAGCTGATGTACCCAGGAAGTCCTGACATGACTAAAACACAAATCCAACAGAGCAAGCATCTCAGCCTAGCCTGAACCAGATGCTCACTCTGCCTCAGAGCTGTGAACACAGATCTGTGAAGCCTTGTGATTTTGTTGAGAGGCAAGAAGGGGGAGCTATTGTGAGCTCAGTGAGAGTGTGTGAGAGTGTCTATTCTAATCACGTGTGAGAGTGTCTATTCTAATACTGTGTGAGAGTGTCTATTCTAATCACGGATAACAGTGACTCCCTCAAACATAGATTGGGTAAAGGACATATTGCTTCTGGAATTAACGCTTTGGCCATAATAATGCAAAGCTCCACAGATTCCATTCCATTGACTGCTGAGCCCAGGGCATCCAGAGAGGCATCCTGTAATGTCTGGGGAAGAGAGTAATGACAAGCACTTTGCAAAGAGCTCGGTCCAGGCTTAACTCTCACTTCTGTGCGGCTACTGGGTGTGCAGCACAGGGCAGGTTACTAAATCATTCTGAAATGATGTCCCTTTCTGCATTAGTTGAGGGAAGTAATGCTTTTTTTTTTAATCTGCTGTTGGGGAAAATGGGACAACATTTGGGAAGCAGTGGGGATAATTTGAAGCATAAATTCATGCAGCTTTCCTTAACTTTCTTTCAGCTCTCTGAAAACTGTGACTAACATGGAAAGAATATATCTAAATAGGCCATGACACCAAAATAATGTGTTTATTAACAAATGAGTATTTAAATATAGAGACAATAGCCACCTCTCTTATACTTAATTTTTCTGAAGTTTATTACACACATATTTATGTGTGCATATATTTCTATCAGAGTTTCTCTGATAAGCTAGAAGACAAGTCTTTGGAATTCATGTATACTAGATACAAGTTTAATTGATGCATACTGCACAAGTTTAATCTTTTTGATCTAATTTTTCTTCAGCATTTTTGAATTGACATGAGAGTGAATACATCTCTTGAGTTTTTTTCTCCCGATAAGCCTTAAGCGTTTTATCCATAATTACATGCTAGAAAATTTAAAGAAATATAAAAATGGTTCAAGATAGATGAGAAAAATCTTGATTTTTATCTAGTAATAATGATACTACAATAATTCTACAGTACTTTATAGTGACATTAAAAGGCAAAACTGATTTATTCAAGTTTTTCCGCTTGTGTAGGTTTTGGAGCAAATGTTGCATCTCTCTGATGACTAGAAAAGTCTGCCTATTGTGAAAATAAGATAATGACATAAGGCGAGATGTTTTCCCCAGGTATATTGAAAATGCAGACCGGCCACTCAAACAATACCTGAGAAGAGAGAGTGGAAGGAAGACATTTCCTTCGGCCTCTTTATCTCATCAGAAGACAATGATAAGGGGTGAAGTGGGATAGAAAGAACTGGGGAGGGGTAAATTGGAAGATCTGTGGACAGCAGGCAATAATGTAGAAGCAAGGATGATACACTTGAATGTCACCAATGCTCAAAACATAGAGGAGAGGACGCTCTAGAAACTCACTGTTAAATCCAAATCACTTTATCACACATGCTGGTTGCTTAGGTCCTGATCTTCTCTTAAAAACCCAACAGCTCTTTCATAGTTGGACTCCATGGGCCAGGAAGGCTTGCTTATATCACCTGGGGCACGTGCACTTGGAACTTTGTTGAGGTTCTTAAAAGTCTTGTTGTCATACTTACTCTATCTTTGGTCTAGTGATGTACAGTATGTAAAAAACTATCTGTTTTCTTTGATGGCTTTTTCCTATGCAATATTTTTTACTCTTGTACTGTTTTTATGTAATTGCAATAATGGTGAACTGCCACCCACATCACTTTGTAATCTGAATTCCTCAAAAGCCTTATTTCGTGTTTATTCTAAATACAACTTCTCTGCAAACCTGTTCCAGTTAAATGATGTAGATGAGGTTTCTAGCACAACAATTAGGGTGTTTGGCCATCCCATCACCAGAGTAGGTCAGTTCAGGCTGTCTCTCGACCTCTGCCAGCAGTCTGTTGTGTGGGTATCTTTGTGGATTTCTGTGGGCCTCTCTAGCACTTTGCTTCTTCCTATTCTCATGTGGTCTTTATTTACCATGGTCTCCTATTCCTTGTTCTCCCTCTCTGTTGTTGATCCAGCTGGGATCTCCCGCTCCCCCAAGCTCTCTTTCCCTCAACCCTCGCCTTTCATTACCCCCACTCATGTCCAGGCTGTTCATGTAGATCTCATTCCATTTCTCTGTCATTGGGTGATCCCTGTGTCTTTCTTGGGGTCCTGTTTTCCAGGGAATCCGTGGCTGATATGTAGAACTGAATTGTATTGCAAAATAAATTAATAAAAAAAAAATGATGTAGAATGAGAGGGAATTAAACAAACGCACTGACTATTCTGTGCCTTTCATTTAAAGGAAAAAGAAAACCCCTGCAAATGAACTTTGCTTTCCATAGGACTAGATCCATCTGCTCATTTAGGTGATTTTCACAATAAAGTCATGTACCAGGCATTCCTAGCCCTTGTTACATTCTCAGTACGAGTTGCTTATTCATCAAGACCAACCAGTATTTACTCTACATTATTAGAGGTATGTACTGGAGCAGTATATGCATAGACTTATTAACATACATTTATGTCAGTAAGGAAGATGGAAATCACAGAGAACTACACCTTACATAATGAGAAACCAAATCTTAGCTGGCTCTGGAAGAGACAGGAGAACTCATGGCTCCTTGCTACTGTACTTTGCTGCCTCCTGACTCTTGTCTTTGTGACCTATGCCATCTGTGCCTTTCCACTATGCTTTGAGACCTGGTTAGTATCAGTGCTTAGGGTCAAAATCTAATCAATATATGCTCATGACCTCAGAAATCTGCAAGACCATACTGCAGGGCATTTCTTATTTCCCTTCCCACTACCTTACAGAAAGTACACTGTATATCTTCACGTCTCCCCTGGGTATTCATCTTGATCTCTGTTTCCACAACACTCTCTTCACAGCACCCTTGACCTCAGCATTCCTCAAGCTGTAGATCAGGGGGTTCAGCATGGGGTTGAAAAGACTGTAAAACAAGGAAAGGATCTTCTGCTGTGTCTCGGGGTTCTGAGACTTGGGGGCCATGTACATGACGATGGCGCTGCCAAAGAAGAGCCCAACCACACAGAGGTGGGAGGAGCAGGTAGAGAAGGCCTTCTTTCGGCCCTCCCCTGACTGGATCTTCAGGATGGCAATCAGGATGCGTGTGTAGGAGACCAGCACCAAGCATAATGGTCCCACTAAGATGAACACAGAAGCAGCAAAAATGACAATTTGATTGAGCATTGTGTCAGCACAGGCCAGCTTGAGGACGGACAGGATTTCACAGAAGAAGTGATTGATTTGATGGGGCCCACAGAAAGGCAACCTCAGGATGAGAATTACATGGACCAAGGCTAGAAGGGAGCCACATGCCCAGGAAACAACAGCCATGATGGTACACACTTTCCAGCCCATGATGACAGAGTATTGCAAGGGGTGGCAGATGGCTACATACCGATCATAGGACATCATTACCAGGATGAGACACTCAGTGTGAGCAAAAGCCATGTATAAAAATGTCTGCATTATACATGGGGCAAAAGAAATAGTTTTTTTCTTATCAAGAAGGTTTGCCAACATCTTGGGGACATTGTTGGAAGCATATGAAATATCGACGACAGCCAAATGGGAGAGAAAGAAGTACATGGGGGTGTGCAGTTTGGAGTCCAGCCAGATGAGTCCCAGAATGACTCCATTCCCCAGCAGGGTGAAAGTGTAGAACAAGGAGAAGAGGCCACAGAGAAGCATTTGCATTCTTGGGCTGAGCGGAAATCCCTGCAGGACAAACTCTGGGACCCATGTCTGGTTCTGTGTCATACCCTTGTGACAATCCCTGCGATGGTCACTGCTGTGAGCAGTGAAATGTGTGCTGAGGAGCAAAGGCAGATATGGATTAGCTGTTACATAGGTAGAAGGTTGGTTTATCTTGAACACCGTGTGTTATTTCAGGCAGCAATCACTTTCAGAATCATTATGTTAAATGGTTGAATCCATAGTAACAAAGAATGAAAATCCATTACAGGCAAGACATAGATGTGATCACAAGCTATCATACGATATTTCCATTTTTACATTTATTTTTGATCACAAGATACACATTTTTGCAATTATAGTGACAGCCAGAGTTTTTATTTTTCAGAATAACTAGCTATTTCATTTTTTGAGAAGAGATTGTAGCCACATATCATGGTTTTTTGCTTTTTATTCAGTTTTCATGTTTTGTTTCTATATTTCCAACCAAAACTTTCTTATTTTATGAATTATGAAGAGTCCATTGCACATGGGCATGATTAAAGAGTAATTATGCAAATGAGTTAATTAAGAAGAGATTACAAATGAAATTACAGGGAGAGTTCTACTCTGTGTTTACTAGTCTTAATGCTTCAGCAAATAAAGCTTATATTAATGTCTGTTTTTGGTGTTATCTCCTAACTCTGGCTATTTACTTTGGAGGCATAAGCAAAGAATAACATAGGTAACACAGCCAGGAGTGATTGTTCCTGTGACGATCAGTAGAAATAGTTCTCGAGATAGTGTTAAGGTAAGAGGTTATTTAAGCAAAGATTAAACAATGTGTTTTTCTTACTTTTACATCATCCTACCCCTTTTCAAAGCTGCTTTTCTAAGATTCTGTGCCTGGAACAGTAACCTACATAATTTATTACTTTATACAGTGGGTGGATGGATGGATGGGTGGATGGATGATGGCATGAATGGAATTTGTATTGCATTAAGAATAACATGAAAAGCATATTAATCAAATCTTTCAACTTCCTCACTCTCTAGTTTCCAACTCACCACACATATGGGTATAAGAGCTGTAGACATGAAAAAAAATCAAATGTTCCATAAAAATATAGAAAAACTAAATGATCAAGGGGTCACTCCCAATGTGCAGTTTATGACTCAGTGTCTGAAAATGCCAACTCCACCTTAAGCACAGAACACTTGGAATTTGACCCCCTGATCCCAGTCCATGTACTGATTTCTGAAGCCTTTCTTTTCTTCAGACCCACTTTCACTAAATGGCTGCACTTTGCCAAAGATCCTTTACTCACTGTGGTACCAGAGTTTGTCTTGTTTCAGAAAGGTGATCATATTTGTAGAAAGTGCACTGAGAGCAGAGGAGATGTAAAGGTCAGGTATGAGAGTCTTACTTTTTCTAGTGGTTTCTGCAGAAAGACTTCTCACATGTAAGAATTCTCACTGTTCTCTTGATGAGAACTGATGCGGAGTTTGGGGCCTGCAGGGCGGTGAGATCACCTGCCAGGTAGGTTTTATGGTGAGCTCATCTTCACCAAACCATCCCTGATCATCTCTAAGGGTCCCTGAGGGGACAATGAGTTACAAAGCTCATATTTAATGTCTATCAGGAGACAGAGCGCTGTTTATCATTCTGTCTTCACTTCTATGGGCTTTGGGGATGGATATTTAGAGGAAAGAGCTGGCAGGTGATGATGTAATACCCAACTATATCAATACATAGTAACTTCTTCCAGTAAGAGGAACATACATAATCTTGGGACTGTGCTACAGATTACACTCCCAAAATTTCTGAATTATGATGAATTCATGAGTCTTTGTCTTGCCTCATAATGAGTCAAGTAGGGCTTGCAAAAGGCAGAACATGCATTATCTTTATGCTTACTCCCAAGATAATTCCAAAAGGAGTTTTGGTAAATGCTGGGGGATGTCTTTCTGTTCTCTGTGAATATATGTTGTTCCCATTGGTTAATAAATAAGCTGCTTTGGTCTAATAGCAAGGTAGCTTAGAGGTAGGCAGGAAATCCAAGGAGAGAGACAGGAAAGAGAAAGGCGGGATCTGGAGAGATGCCCGCCGCCACCTAAGAAACATGTCAGCAGACTGGTAAGCCACGGAACACATGGCAAAACATAGATGAATAGAAATGGGTTAAGTTAAAAGATCTAGCTAGCAAGAAGCCTGCAATAGGCCATACAGTTTGTAAATAATATAAAGCCTCAGTGATTATTTTATAAGCAGCTGTAGACTGTGGGGCCAGGCAGGACCAGAGGAACTTGGAAACTTGGGAGCAGAGAACCTTCTGGCTACAGGTAGATAAGAAAAAACAAAACAAAACAAAAAACATTCACTGACCATCTCACACTGTGATATATATACCCTCAGGCCATTCCATATAGTTCTTGACTTGGATACAAGATGTAGGAAGAAAGGAAAGACAGAAGCCAAAGTAAACTTGGCCTAGAGATAGTATGGCTCAGTTCCCTGGCATTGAGAAGATAGAATGTGTCTGATCCCCGTCATTCTGATAATATGACCGCGACAGGCAGTAATATGCAGTGGAAATTGGTGGTCAATAATGCCTCAGACTGAGAGAGACTTGTATCCACATTCATAAAATATAAATGGAGGATCCTTTAATGTTTTCTGAGTCTCTTTTATGTGTATCCAAAGTGTGTGTGTGTGTGTTGTTTAGGTGAAATTTTGTAGAGAAATAACCAAGATCCACTAATCAGAATAAGATTCATTCTTTAGTAGACAGAGATTCATGCTGTTAATCTGTGAGTCACATGGTCTACTAAAAACAAGGAAGTGGAGGAACTACATCTGCCATTTTACATCTCAGCAATAAAGAACATATTTAAAGGTCAGGCTTTAAGAAAGGTGTGCATTTGAACATGGTGGATGTGATGTGCTTATGGAATATACATAAGAGTTTGTGAAACAAGGAATTAGCTATACTATTTTAGAATGGGCTGGTGACAAGGAAAGTCATGGGACTTTACACTTCACGTCTCCTCCAATTATGGGACCAAAGTTCCTTCAACCTTTTACATCTTACAGGGTCACAGTGGACTCAAAGGAAAAGAAAAGAAATAACACATCTTCAAACACAGAAAGGTCAGTGTTATGCACCCTAGGAATTAAAGGGTATTAATAAACATGATTCCCAAAGATGAACTGCATATCTGTGAATTTCTTGGTTTCTTTTTTGAAAACCATTAGATTCTCCCATAATCCCTACTTCCACCATCTTTTCATTGCTAAGCACTTGGTGGGATTTATATTCAATATAGGAGTGTTTCCCAAAGCATGGTCCAAAGACAGTGTTTTATTTTTGAATGAGTCAAAAACACATTGCAAAATTTAAAGTTTAGTGGAAATACACAGTTATATATACATACATATATATATATATATATATGTGTGTATGTATATATAACAAATTTTATACATAGGAAGAACCACAGAGACCATTTCATCCAAGGCTGTCACATTCACCATAAGTATTCTAGAGCTAGAGGAGGTGAGGAGTCTTCAAGACCAAGAGCAGATTTAAGATAATTTGGGCATCTCAAACCTACTGGAGTCAACAAGAGGTGCTTAGTTTTCCTCTGAGTTTTTTCCCTGTCATGTTGTTTTATTACTTCTCCTAAAATACTTTGTTTTTTGAGACAGGGTCTTACCCTGTATCCCTGGCTGCCTCAGAATCATGCAATTTTCCTACCTTAGCCTTCCAAGTGCTGAGATTACAGATGTAAACTGCTGTACTCACAAAACACAGTTTTTAAAAAGCATATATTTCATGAAAGTATAAAAAGTTACTAATATATGATATCCTTGATACATTCTCAATTTGTTACTATATCAAGCTTAAGCATGATTTATTCATTGACTTATTTATTTAGTAACACACTACTTGTAGAATTTCGGACAAGGACACAGTCTCTGCCCAGAAAGGAACTTCTGGCAGAGGAGGCAAAGAAGCAATGCAAACGAACTGTGATTTCATTTTGTGACATGTGCTGCTTTGCTAGATAATGGTAGTGTCATTGGCGACAAGAACACAAGAGAACATTAAGCCATAACACACTCCTGGCATTAAGGACAAGAGAATGTAGAGACCTGGAGGCTGGGAAAAGCTGAGCACTATATAGCACATCATTTGGGTCCATTGTCTTTTTGTCACACTGACCAGAGAGAATAAACAGGGATGTGGTTAAGAAGCAGCGGGGCAAGGGGACCTTGTGTCTTCAAATACCTTGAAGGGAAATTGGAGTTTACATTGTTGAAAATTGGGCATCAAAGGTTTCAAGAGATAAAAAATGTTTTGTATTATTTATGTCAATTTTTTAAAAGATTTAATTATAATTTTTATTTTATGTGTGTGTGTGTGTGTGTGTGTGTGTGTGTGTGTGTGTGTGTGTGTGTGTACACATGCTCATGCACATGTAATGTATGCACATGATAGCCCTAAGGGTGCAGTAGTGGCATGGTAACCAACAGCTCTCTAATTGAACTTAAGACCTGCTCAACAAGAGGGAAATCATGTTGGTACTGGAAATCTAGATGACTGTCCTGGGCCAGGGAAGTCATAAGTCTTGGCGGAGAACATACAGCTACCAATGTACTAAACTAGCATAATCTCTAACTACACTAAATATTTGTCCTAATACCCACAAATAAGTGTAATTCTCTCCCCTAATAAAGGAAACTTCTTTTTGCAACAGACGGAGACCATTACAGAAAACCACAACCAATCAAAATGAAGAGTTGTGGAGCCCAGTCCCAACTGATACAAATACAACACAACTCGCACACCTAAGGTTCAGAGATCACTGAAGAAGAGGGGACAGAAAGACTGTAAGATCAGGGAGCTCGCTGTGAGATTATGTCTCCCAGAAATGTCAGCAGCTACATCAAGAAGTCTCACAAACATGGCTGCCTAAATATGACGCGAACAATGAGGACGTCAATAGACATTCTAATGTGAGAGGGGGGAATGCTCAGGTGGCTTCAGTCTAAGAAAAAGAACTATAGGCAACTAAGGAATGCT